TCATTTGTAGATGGTCGAAACACTCTCCTTCCGACCAAACATTCAGCAATCGCCACGAGTTGTTGCAACCGTGAACAGCACAATATGTCACGGAGCCGTGTCAGCGTGTAACACCATCCATAGTTTACTTTTTCTGCACGCTAACCAAAGACCGTAAGAGACGCTAACTCGCTATCCGGAAGTGCTTTGCAGACACAACCGGAAGTCGTTGGCAGAGTGAAAGGCCAATGGCGGCCCGCCTATTTCACTCAGGAAACTTGTCTATTCCTAAATACACCGGCTTTATTCATCATAGTCAATTTAACTAATCATTTGGCTTGCTAGGCTAATGCTAATAGCATAACAATTAACAATTTTCTTCTAGAACAAGAGTATATACATCGCTTGTCTTTGCAAAGAAGGGTGAATGATTTCCTTGAACAAGGTGTGCGTTTTTAGCACAATTCTCATTTTGAATAATGTTTGAATTAGTTTTTGTTATCTGCGTTAAACTCTTCTCCAACTGTTCTTCTTCTGAGAATCTGGACAAAGAAGCGTGAATAAAATGCACAAACATCGCCCCTAGTGGTGAGAGGGTGATATCTGCGGGCCATTTTGGATACTATATAAACTGATGTATAAAATTAGTTACTTGTGTAAACTAAAGAAAGCAACAGGTCAACAACAGTATTCTGCAACAATTTGGATGAACTGATATTCTTACTACAACATTTAACTTGCTAACAAACTCCATTTGATATACTGAATACACGGTTTACTATATGTACTATGTATAATGAAGTACACATTGGGACGAAAACGACATGAGTCATTAATCCAACTCCTCACAACAAGTAGAAAAAAACAAAAACTGCAGTGTCTTACTTTTCTATAATGTCTTAATAAGCCATAACACAATTTAATTAGTTGTTACACCAAACCCATTTAGTTTGCTGGACACTTTGTAATTATAGATTAAAGATTTCTTGGTTGTATTTTGCCCATCAAATGTTTTTTTGAGTTTTGTTCTGGCCTGAAAATAATAATATAACATTTTGGGAAGAAAATACATCCAAGCAAAGCAAAACTAGAGGCCAAAATGGCAAATATCTCCACAGCCACAGTGAACTTCCCAGGAGAGCTGACATAAGCTGGGATAAATGTGATCCACACTGCACAGAATATTAGCATGCTGAAGGTGATGAGTTTGGCTTCATTAAAGCTGTCTGGTAGCTTTCTAGCAAGAAAGGCAAGAATAAAACACAAGAAAGCCAGAAGTCCGATGTAACCCAACACAGCCCAGAACCCTACAACTGAACCCAGAGCACATTCTAAGATGATCTTTTCTTTATAGTAACTCATGTTCTTCTTAGGGAAAGGGGGGTTGATTGTCAGCCAAAGAATACAAATGATAACTTGAATGAGAGTGAAACACAGAACACTGACTCTCTGCTGTGCAGGCCCAAACCATTTCATCACATTACTAGCTGGCAGTGTGGCCCTGAAGGCCATTAGCACCACTAGAGTTTTCCCCAGAACACAAGAGATACAGAGGACAAAAGTGATGCCAAATGCTGTGTGTCGCAGCATGCAGGACCACTGTGTGGGCCTTCCTATGAAGGTCAGAGAGCACAGGAAACACAGTTTTAATGAGAACAGCAGCAGGAAGCTCAGCTCAGAGTTGTTTGCTTTTACAATAGGAGTCTCATTATGAGTGAAAAAAATGATTGATGTCAGAAGAGATAAAAATACGCCAATACAGCCAAATGCAGCTAAAAGTATTCCCATGATCTCTTCATAGGAAAGGTATTCAGTCTTTTTTAAGAGGCACTTGTCTTTCTTTTCATTTGGCCAAAATTCAGGTGGACAGATCAAACAGTCTGGAGAATCTGTAAAATAAATGAATCATACAAAAATAGGATCATCATCCAAAATAATATCATCTCAAAATTATGTTATTATCGAACTTTAAAGATGTATTCTTAAAACAATACATGATTAGCTCTGATTTTGTAATCTGTTACTCACTTGTTTGATTACTGATTGTTCCCTCAGGACACTGAAAGCATTCAAAGCAGCACACGAGCTTGAGCTTGTTTATGGCTTTACGGGTCCCAGGTGGGCATGGTTCTGTGCAGACAGATCTTACCACCTAAAAACGCAAAACACATGACACAAATGGTTGTATGCCGGCCATGTTGATAAAGTTTCAAAGGGATTGATTTCAAGACTTCATTTTACATGTTGAATGTGTGTGGTTTCTGATGCCCACAGGGGCAGCTGACCGGAATGCTCTTGAAGACATCACCTATGGTGGTCATAGAGTACTCTCACCAGCTGCCCCTGTGGAACTCAGTCTCTGCACCTACGAGGCACGCTGGGTGGAAATATAGCGTCTCCACCCGAGATCCTAAGCTACACATTCAACCTGCAGTTCGCCTTACCTTATCACTGTCTCCTCCCCAAACTATTTTGGTGTTGTCTTTTATTTTGAATTTTTCCCCATCTGGGTAAGAAGTATCGTATTGACCAACGTTGACGATCTCAATAGAACCATCTTCTTTCATCTGCCAGTTAACTAAGTCATACTGGGCAATTGATTCTCCATTTTCATCAAATGAAACTTTGGCCCCATCCTGGGTCGTGAAGTTCACATATTTAATGTGTTCCAGCACCTGTAGAGTGACATTCAGCACAATCTAGCAGATATACAACTCACACACATAAGTAAAACATTTAAGACATTAGTATCTAAATGATACCCTAAATGATTACATACGATTGTATTGCCTTACATTAATCACAGAAATAAAAGAATCACTAAACACTAAAGTAAGCTCTGCCTGAATAAATACACCATAACTTACTAGTTCAGGCCGAACTTCGTTCTTGTTCACACAGGGTTTTCCTGTTGTGGGATTTGAGCCATTTTTACATTGCAATAGTGCATGAAGGGAGTATGCCAGCAAGTACACAGCTTTGTACACATTATTCTCAGCCCTGAATTGTGTAATAGCTGTGTATCCACTGGAGACTGTGCTGAGATCCTCTGTGCCAGTGCACACAGCAGTTGTGTTTGATGGAGAGAAGCTGCACTCAAAGAAATTCTCCCAGAAAGCTTTAATTATAGTACTCTGTGGTTCATCCGTGGGTTTCAGGCTGAGTAGGTATTCACCAAGACCTGGTATGTTCGCCAGGGGGAGGGCAAGGCCCATTGCCCCCTGTAAAATTGACCTTGTACCAACAGAAGCCAGGCTTTCTTGTGTGATCCAAGCCTCACCGCCAATCCACTGCTTTCCTGTGATTTTATATTCTTCAATATCGGACAGGAACGATTTGGTAAAGGACAATGACATAAACAACAGGACTACTTTTGAAGAGCACTCTCTTAGAGTATTCACAATGGTATTCACCATGAATGGTCTGGCCTTAGCATAAGGTAATGTGTATTCAACACATATACCCTCCTTCTTTGCTTCCATGTTGAATGTAGCTGTGCCTTCTTTTGAGTACAATCCCTCCGAGTGTATAATCCCCACCCAGAGCCAGTCAAAATGTTTCATAAGCTGCACAAGGCCGAGGATTTGGAAGTGATCACTAGGCACAGTTCTAAAGAATGTGGGGTATAGTCTTTTGTTGCTCAAACAAGAACAGGTTGAAAGATGGCTTACCTTTAAAGAAAAAAAACATAGTTGAAAACAATACATGTACTTTCAACAATGCAATTTCAAATATACATATAATACAATGAAAATCAGACAGTTTGCAGTTCCTCTCACATGTGGAACAGATAGCGGGCTTAGAATCAGGTTTATATCTTGAGTAACTCCAGAGGATGAATGGCCTATGAGAGCCTGGATGGGATCACTGCAGCCCTTTGAATCCTCTCCAGTTACTGCTTCTATCGCTGCTCGTACCAGGTTTTCACTGCCACAGCCGTTGAAGACCCGATAGCCAAGACTCACCCCAGGAAGGAGCTCAGTATTCCTGTTAATCTCCTCCACAGTAAAAATCATTGTACGGGCAAACTTGAATTCCCTGTCATTCCACCTGCAAACACAGCGTTAACTGTTGACAAATTACCTTAGAATACGTAATTATAGCTAATAATAATTCTAATAATATTAATGATCATCTGGTCACAGATCAAACCGGCACAAAAACCATACAATAAATTGATATTCTACACAAATTAGACATATTTTAACCACTTACTTAATGCAGTATGTGTTTGGAAATGCCCCGTAACCATAATCGTTCAGTTTGCGTGTGCTAGTCATAGAGAAAACTCCTCCTATAATAAGATCACCTCCTTTTGAAAATTCCATAAACCCTGTCTGTCCAATCATTTTGCATGTTTGGTTTTCTGACATTGTTCTTGCCAGCAGAGTGAATGAAATAAGAGTAATCCAACCCATCGCGAGCCACCCTCCCCTTCGCTGAAGCAGGTCTGACCTGGGAGTCGACCTTTATAGCTTTTCCCACTATGTGAGAAACATCAGCAGCCAATGTGAGCTTCCTTAATTCGCAAAAGAACGTTTTTGTTTTTTTACAAATCATTTGAGAAATGAATCCTGATTGTCATGTAACAGACACCAGGTCTTACCCTTTTGTATTTAAAATGTACCTAAGGTGGAAGTAAGCAAGGAAAATAAGGAAAGAATTGCATATGTTGTTAGTACATGCTGTGAAGTAGAAAATCAATAAACTTCTTTAAATGGTTCAGATCCCATCGAGTTTTCATTGCAAGTTGATAAAACTCAATTCTTTTTTAATTGGTATTCTTTGTTTATTATTAACATAGCCATTATATTGTATGAGATTTACCATATAATCATATATTAGATCAACTCAATTGGCAGAATGCAGAGACTATGTCTGTGTTTTATCCCGCTGAGATCTCCATCTCTGACACCTATCTGCCTTGTACACTCTGGAATCAAATCGACAATAAATTACTGAAGTCCAAAACTCAAGATACTATAGATTTAATTTAAGTTCAAATAACAGTTTTAGTTAAATAGACTTCACTTTCTGCTTTATTACATTTCAGCTATAGCCAACGCAGAGACAGCTCTACTCAACCACACAATTGCACACTTCAATACATGAATAAGTTCAACCGGACACAAACAATTGTTTAAATGCATAACAAACACCAATTGCATTGACATAGACTCGATAAAACAAAAAGATATCTTTTTTTGTAAATGATGATTGTCTTGTTTTTTTCAGTCACCATGAGATGCTCTATTTTGGTCTAATTTATATTTAAATATCAAAACCTAAGTAATTAGTTGTCTTTTGATTTAATTAAAAAAATTGAAGAATGGTTACACATACACATGTTTAAAATGTGTTGTTTAAACAGTTAAATACAGTTATCATTTAACATGTTTTTTAGTACATTCACTGTCACTATGTTCACAGTAAAGCGATTTCAACTAATGCTAATACTAAATGTCTACATAAAAAATAAAACAATTAAAGCTGTGTACAAATGTTCCCCCAATTAAAAAGTGTGTGAAATGTTTGTAGAGCTGATAAAAATGAAGCCAGTTATTATATTCAACTGCCAGTCTCTGCCAGTTATGCTGTCTCGTGTAAGCTGAGGATGTCAATGGAACTGGTACACTGGTCAAAGTTTGATACAGTGGGGTGTGTTTCATGGTATTTTTTTTTTTAAATGAACCTGTTGATATTAATGACCAGGACGTATTTTATTGGTACCCTTGAGTTCTGATGACAGGTCACCAGTTGCACATGTAGGAGGACACTCAAAACATTCAGTTTATTCAGAATGGATTGGAGCAAACTGGAAAGTGAGATGAACCCACAGAGCAACATAGCCAGTAGCTCTATCCGCCCTGACACTGACCAGGGTCCGAGTGTTGATCTCACACCCGCGACGAGTATGTCTTCAACCGCGTCTTTTCTGTTCTTACTTGGAAAAGAATAACTGAAAGTCAACCAGATAAGCAACGCGGTGACGGGCAAAGCCCTAAATTGCTGTTGCGTGCGACACAACAATTTAATTACAGTTCGAGCAGCCCTGCAGGCAATTAACCCACGAACAGTCCTGCCTCCAGACCAAGAGAGGAAGAGAACAAAGGACATCCTTACAGCTACCCACACAGTGAGCTGATGGATGGCGAGTGACCGGGAAAAACAGCGCAACACCATCGTGAAAAAAATCTCCATTGTGGAGTTACTGCCATGAGCAGAGGTGTTTCGGTTGGCTCGTGTCTTTTTTCTTGTTATGTAGATTCCAAGTAGTAACACAACTCCCAGGAAATATCCAGATATGCATCTGCCGGCGTCTACAGGCCCCACACTCTTCACCCCGCCTGTGTTACCAAGAAAAAGAGAAGGATTATGGTCCAACTCACAAAGAGTTTGGAAGTATGCTTTTCTTGCAATGAATGGCTTTGCTGTGTTGATTTTCAGTATCACCTGATGGTTTCAGACGTGCTTCTTTAAGACACAGTGATGCAGAGAACTTTGATGGCATCTGATGACAAGAGGTGGAAGTCTATTACTCTGCACACAAACATACATTCACACAGAGGTATCACAATAGAAAACACGCGTGGTGTAAATGTTTTCATTGTAAGACTTTAAGACTGTAACTACTTCATGGTGACGTTGGAGTACTTGCATCGCAGCGTTTATATTCTTATATGTATCTTTGGAATTTCTAGAATCGTCATGCTTATGTACAAACTACAACAGAAAAATGCAAAATGATGTACATCTCATTTTTTTACATTTGTTTAATATCATAAGATTTCTCACATAATCAATATCCTGTTTTTAATTGCCAGTCTGCAGAAATACTGTTGCGGTGCAAAAAAAACATGCACATCGCAGCTCTCAATTTATTCAATACAGAATGACGAAGCCCTCAGGCTCGCTCGACTCTCAGACAGTATATGGAATCACGGAAAAGCTTCTGCGAAAAAAGTAGACTGCAGGATTCTAAACCGTATAGGTTGCACACCTCACAGAAGCAGATACAATCCAATGGTCCCCAGTGGTCTAGTAGAACAATGGTAACGATGTTGGAGCAGTAAACTGCATTTCTCTGGAGAAAATAATCAAAGACAGATACTTCTGTAATTCACATGTGAGCTGTGATTATCAATTTTCTGTCTGGATGAAAGAAAATTACAAAACCTAAAAGGTCGCTAATGCGTTTCATAATACATTGGTGCGAACTGAAATACAAGCTCCACACTGAATAAAGGCAATGAGTACTGAGTGCACTGTTCTTAGATTTCATTTTGAAATGCAATTTGATGAATATGATTACTGCCAACATGCAATTATGGAACTCACCTCTATTTTATGTAGCAGACAACTGCTTTTGAACGTGTTTTGCGTCACAAATTGCTTCACTCTTTTCAGCACACAGTCATGAGGGATTGTAAAGTTCAAGTAAACACCAAGAAAGAGGACACAGTCTTCTTTTATCCCGTTCTCTGTGGAAATCCTCTCTGAGCAAACACTCATTGCAGGAGGTCTAATTAAAAAATGAAAAAAGTGATCAGTGAAATCAGTCGATGAACATAATAGAGCAACGTATCACATATTCATAACCCCATAACAACCAACAGTCATACATTAAGTGAATCACCTGTCTGCTCAACATTTGTTGTAAGACATAAACTACTTATTCTCTTATTTTCCTATGAGGTGTATGTCAATACTGTGTATAGGCCTTAATAATTCAGGCTGGAGTAAATCATAAAATGACAAGCTAAATGCTGATGAATCTGGTGGAAACCACGCGGAGGTATCCGGTTCCTTAACGACAAAAACAGCAAGTTAAGAAGCAATATACAGGTACATTAAACAGAGATAAGAAAAAACAATGCAATTTTCCCACTATTTACTCACCTTTTACATGGCAGTGATGGTTTCGTTTTGTCATGAATAGCAGTGTTTTTATCTGATGCACTTAAGCTGCTGCTCTTTGTCTCTTCATCACATCCGTACTGACGGAGCTCAGCACACTGGTGCGATCTGAGCCATGTGCCAGATGACACCGTCCAAGTGAACTGTGCAAAGAGGACAAATGCAACTGATGACATCTCAGAGCCTCGCCTTTGGCACAGTCAGGATTTATGCAAAGACGTGTTTTATTTTTTCCTGTCTGTTGCTTAGGTGTAGGAGGCAACTTAGTTGTCCATTCTCAGCGGTTCATGCAAATTTCTTTTTATTTTTTTGCATATGTACGACCTTAATGATGTCAGGCGTGAAGAATGAAGACATACACATGGGTCCTGTATCCTAACAATCAGTCTTAGGTTAAGTATCTTGGCTGAAATAAACTTGATTATTACCGTCAGGTTTTTATTGTATGCTCTGTAAGCATAATACATTTTGATGGGCATATAAACACATGTCAATTTATTTAAATCAATTAAGTTAAGGTGAAGAAATAAATCTTTTTGCTCATTTATGGCCTAAATATGGCTCTCAATGTTTTACTCCAGACTGAAGCGCGTGTCACGCTGACATGGGCATAGATGCACAATAAGGCACAATCTGGCACACAGAGGCAGAGCAACTTCACTTCCTGAACAAAAAAACGGGCAATATTAGAGAAATGTAGGAGAACAAGTAGACTCAACTGTAGATCAGTTCAGTTGTGACTTCAGTCTGTCACAACCACATAACCGAAAGGTGGCTAGCTATTTAGTAAAGGTTAGAAGGGATTCAGAGTCTTGTTAAAACAACAGTGTAATTTGAGTTACAAACTAAATTTGGATTTCTCGTGATTCCGAGTGTAGCTGCAGTGCAAACTTATAAATCGTCATTTTCAACCTACGAAAAAGCAAAAGCTATAGTTGATGAATGCTAAAACACTGTTTGTGCCAATATCTGATGCTATTTGGATACTGTGTTGATCTTTTGTTGTACCCCCCTCCACCACGGACGACATTGTAACAAGTCACACTAGGAACAACACATGGATACATTATAGATTTATTGTTACATCCCGTTACATTTATTACTACATGACAAAATGTTAGCAAAAGTTTCTCATATGAGTTAGAATTCTGTAAGTACGTGACGCTGCACGTGTTCCCGAAACAAACTGGGAATTTTGTAATCAAGACTCACAATAGAGAAGAAGTCTTTCGAAGTTTAAGTTTAATTTTTCAATAATCTTCACACTTGCAAGCGGAAATGGAGGACGTGAACAAAGTACTCAGGAAGAACAGTTCATCTTCATACATTTTAAGTTACTGAAATGCTTGTGATTGATGAGAAAAGTATTGGCTTTTACATTCTATCAAACTTCACCCGCCAGAGAAAGGAACCAAAGATCACATCACCACATCAATTGATATTTGTATGTCGTTCAATCTACAATGTTATAACGCCCATGATAAAACAGAAGGCATAAGACTTTCCATTATACTATAGAATTGATGTTTGTATGCTCTAAATGTCCTTTGTATTTTGTCCCACCACGTGAAAAAAATGGACTACTAAACTACAACTAAATATGCAAATACCAAAACAAACTTTCTACAAAAAGCTGAAACTAAACTATAACTAGCATTTCCACAATAACTAATAAATAACGTGTCAATATGTTGGTCCACCAATAGTTCACATCCCTGAACACATTAAAAAATGATGAAAATGACCTCAAGCCAACCTCAGCAGCTTTGTGTGGATCAGGTCATATGTGGTGTCTTTTCAAATTTGTACAGGAAATACAATTTGAATCATAAAGTGTTTACAACTTTGAAGAACATTTGTAAATTGATGAATCACATAAATGTTATGGCGACATCTTTCATTCATAATATTTTGTCCTACTTGAATATTGTGCATATTGTTCTAATAGGGTATTGAAATTATATTTTGAGGAAGGCAACTGTTATAGTTTCAGTGTATTTTCATGTTACATGTAATATCAATATCACTGCTGGAATGAAATGATAATAATAATAATAAGTCAGAAATCCCAACAATATAAATCTAATATTGAATATCTTTTGTTCTGACCATTATGTGACTTTTTGTGTTTTGTTCTGGTCTAAGTAAAATAACATAGCATTTGGGAATGAAAATACATATAAGTAGTCCATAACTGGAGCTAATAATGGCAAATATCTCCACAGCCACTGTGAACTTCCCCGGAGAGCTGACATACGCTGGGATGAATGCAATCCAGACTGCCCAGAATATCAACATGCTGAAGGTGATGAATTTAGCTTCATTGAAATTATCAGGTAACTTTCTTGCCAAAAAAGCAAGAACAAAACACAACATGGCTAAAAACCCAATGTATCCTAATACAGCCCAGAACCCCACCGGGGATCCCAATGCACACTCAAGAATAATCTTTTCTTTATAGTAGTTCATGTTTTTGTAGGGGAAAGGAGGGTTGATCGTCAGCCAAAGAATACAAATTACAACCTGAATGAAAGTTAAACACAGAACACTGAGTCTCTGCTGTGCAGGCCCAAACCATTTCATCACATTACTAGCTGGCAGTGTGGCCCTGAAGGCCATTAGCACCACTAGAGTTTTCCCCAGAACACAAGAGATACAGAGGACAAAAGTGATGCCAAATGCTGTGTGTCGCAGCATGCAGGACCACTGTGTGGGCCGTCCTATGAAGGTCAGAGAGCACAGGAAACACAGAGTCAAGGAAAAGAGCAGCAGGAAGCTCAGCTCGGAGTTGTTGGCTCTGACGATAGGAGTTTCTCGGAAGTGAAAGAAAACGGATGCTATCGCAGTTGTCACCATCGCCCCTATCAAACAAATACATGTTAACACGATCCCCATGAGCTCTGCATAAGACAAGAATTCTATTTCCTTCAAGATGCACACGTCTCTTCTGGCATTCGGCCAATAGTCAATGGGACATTTGAAGCAATCCATGGAGTCTGTTTTTTGAAAGAGAGAAAAACATGAATAAGGTCATCACGGAAAGGCCAAATAACATTCCAATATTCTGTAAAATCCGACCTGTAATATTACTGATTTCTCCTTCTGCACACGGTACACAGTCATAACAGCAAATATGTTTTCTTTTCTGAAGGGCTTTGTGTTTTCCCGGAGGACAGCTCTCACTGCAAACGGACACAGGCACCTAGGGGCATAAAAACGTTGAGGAGTTGCATGGGACCCACAGTGTGTTAACCTGTCTCATATGGTTGGTGTGGAAGTGCAATTTGACTTTCATTAAAACATATTACATTATGTTACAAAGCAGTTTTGAGGCACTTTATTGATTTTATGAAATATTATACAGTATTACATTGTGACTAACCACCCAGAGATATGACAACAGAGCAAAATGAGTATGTACCGTATGACTTCCTCCTCCCCAAACTATCTTCATGTCATTTAGTGTAAATTGGCGCTCACGGGGCAGATTGGAGTCAAAGATCCCAACTGTGGCGACATGCAGGGTCCTTGAGGTCACAAGCTGTATATTCACAAGTTCATATCTTGCAGGTGAATCTCCATTCTGGTCAAAGGTCACTCTCTCCCCCTGATTTGTTGTGAAGTTGATATTCTGTAAATAATGCAGCACCTGGAAAGAGGAGGCGGGACTTAATTAACCACAACAAGCTCCTTTTCTTTTTGACGTTATTGCAAAAAAACATTCATGTTTTCTGCCAAACCTGCCACGGTTGGATGTGTCCAGCATCGGCACAGCTCCCGTTTGAGAAGGGGCCCCTCCCCTCTTCACATGTGACCAGATTGTGGAGGGCATGGGAAACTGCGTAAACTGACTTGTACACATTATTAGTAAATCTCAGCTCTGAGACAGTCGTAAAATATGATTCAACTGTCTGCACGCTCCCAAAGCCGTCGCACGGTTTCCTCTGTGTGTTCGCAGTGTCGTTCAGAACGCAATCGAACGTGTCTTCCCAGAGATCTCTGACAAACTGACTGTCGGGGAACTGCGACGGCCGCAGCCGCCTCATGTGCTCCTCCAGGCCCGGGATCTGAGCTTTGCTGACAGTGAAGCCCAGTGAGCCGACCAAGAGGCTGTTTCCCTCGCTGCTGGTCAGAGCGTCCTCTGTGATCCACGCGTCACTGCCGACCCACTGCAGACCTGTAATGTTCTGTTTGAACAGCTCAGTCACCAGCACATCAACCTCTCTGTGGGACATGAACGCCACGATGACCTTAGAGGTGGAGTACTTCACAGATTCAACTACTTTTGCCAACTCGTGAAGAGGACCCGTTTGCTCAAATGCCCGATAATACTCAATGCACACCCCTTCTTCTTGTGCAGCTTTCATAAATGCGGCGATCCCATTGATGCCATATTCGTTTTTGTTACTAATCGCCCCCACCCAGGTCCAGCGGAAATGCTTCACCAGCTTTGCCAGCGCTCTGCTCTGGTAGAGGTCGCTTGGAATGGTTCGGAAGAAGGATGGAAACACTTCTCTGTTGCTGAGACATGCACAGGTTGCAAAGTGGCTGAGCTGTAAAAACAAAAAGAAGAAGAGAGATTTAGATAGAACAGAAAGGGTTTTTTTACTTGTCCATTAACTTGAGAAACACAAAATGAGAAATAAGCAGTGAAATAAGATAATGGAAATTCAACTTTCAATAGTTACCACTGGTATCTGGAACCTGCCCAAAATGCGGGCAAATCCTACTGTGGGCGCAGAGGCAGAGTGACCAATCACAGCCTGTGCATTGTCAGCGTTTGTACAGTTCCTCTCATCAATGATCTCCTCCTGCCCATTGACTAAATCCAGAGCCGACCTTATAATGTTTGACATTCCACATGAATTGTATATTTTGTAGCCCATTGTGTGGTTAGGAAGAATAGCAGGATTTTGATTTATTTCCTCGATGGCAAAGATCATGGTCTGAGCAAATTGGAATTCTCTTAAATTAATGCTGGAAAAAACAACAAGATTGATTTCATTTGCACAAAAACGTATTGAACGAGAATGCACATAACATGAACAAAACCAAAATCCTCATACTTACTTCTGGCACGTTGGACGATCAGGTAGAGTTTGGAAGGTGGGCACGATGTCCCGGTACCCAGTGCGAAAGGTAAAAATTCCACCTGTGACAAAGTCTCCAGCCTTTGTGAACTCAGGCGGTTGTGCCTTCCCCTGAAGGCGGCACACAAGGGCTCCCCTCCTGATAAGAAGAACCAGGAGCAGCAGCCTCGGTAGTGACATTCCTTCGCCGCACAGACCGACCTCTGCCCTTGCGTCTGTCTTTATACCCTCTGTAGGCCTTATTAAGTGTCCACTCACATCCATGGACCTCATGCTTTAGGGTGCAGAGACAAACGAGCGAGATGCCCCCAGGGGACTGTTGTAGGTGTAGAAGTATTGAAGATTATGAAGTATCCATTATTTGATATTGCTAACACATAACACATTAAACTATTTTTTTATTAAGTTTTCTAATCATGAATATTTTATTGAAAAAATAAATGATGCACACATACTGATTCCTATTGTTTTCTTGACTCCATAGTTTTAAAACATTTAAATCTTTTTATAATGCATTAAGATTACGTAATGATGTGGTTATAAGTTATTCCAAGTAGTTTTAAGTGCCGTAAAAATAATTGACAATGTTACATGTGTTGATCTTAAATAGATTAAATGATTTTAATGATTCACATTACCTAAAACACCCAGTGCAATATTGCAGGGATTATAACTCATCAGATTGCAATTTATTATTAGAATTATATACTATTATCTTTCCAAATAATAATTGACCAGCATTTATGAAGTAATAATGCATGATCATCATTTAGTCCTCATTTAGTCCCATCATTTAACTATAATTATACAGGGATTCGACCAGATCATGATGCTTTAACAGTATACAATACGTGTGTATGTACTTGTATTATGAGTTTGTATCCGTCCTATTTATGTTGACACTAGAGACTAGTGCTAATGCTGTCTAACTTTTGAACTTTAGTAATATATCTACAAACTTATTGGTTGATTAAATCATTACTGTCAACAAATAAATAACACAACAAATATGACGCCATGCTCATTGCTGTGTAGCCAAACAGAGCTACATGCGCCATTGAAGTGATGGAGGTAGTTGATCCACTACGGGATGGAAAACTGAAATAATATGAAATCAACTGCCGAGGTGTTTTAGTTTGTCGGTCATTACCACAAATCAGTCAACTTCACAAAGCGTACAGTACAACACTCAGTACAGTACAACACGCAATGGTACAATTGTACGACGGATGTCAAAGGAATAACCCCTTCAGTAATTATATTATATTCAAGTTACCTTATTCTTGGCGATATAAGAAATGCAGATTTTGAAATGATCAAAAAGCATCACAGTGGTGAGGGTTTCTTATGTGGTGTCATGCAGGCCTTCACCTGCACAATTAGAATAAACAGGATATACCGCAGCATAAGTTGGAGCTGTTACCTGTCTTTCCTAAAATGTCACAAAGATTCATTATGATATTGCAAACTATTTTTGAGCTGAGCATTTAGCAGCTCGATGTTGGCATTGCTGAGGGACACTTCATGGCTCTCTAACTGAAAAGTAAGCAATCCGAAACACAATAAATGGGGACCTTATTCATTTATTGTACAGTGACAAACGGTTTGGAGTGCAACTTTTTTTATTACATTGCTCTTTGGCTGGCAGGAAAAAGAGGACCTGAACTCAGGGCTCAATGGAAAAATTTAATTAAAATAAAGAAAGAGAAACATCAAAACAAACCATTAATTGATTTCAAATGTGACACTAACAAGTCGTGACAAGGATGTTTGTTAACATTTACCATGTTTTTCTGCTTGAGGCAATATGCCACCTGTTGTTCGTCTTGTTGAGCAAAAGGATGAAGCAATCTGCAATGTTTAATCTCTGGTGTCGGCATGTTGGAGCCCTGCTGGAGCGTTCCCACTGGAGTCGAGCCACTGGGTAACGACGTCCTGCTGACGACAGATGGGGACTTATTTATGTTCCATTGTTTTCTTCTGTCTTGTTTTTGTGTGTATGTACATCTGTAACCATTATTTCTGCTGTGTTGCATCATATTGCATCTTAACTTTACAGTTGCATGAAGAGAAATAAAGTTCAAATCCAATTAAACACATTTTATTCACTATTTTATAGTTTGCTTTCCATATTTACATGTTCAGCATGCAGCAACCAAGATTCGAGATATTTATTGTCATGTGTACAGTTTCAAAGGTTACTATGTACAATGAAATTCCACATAGCCACAGATGTAAAACACCTCTGCAGACATTATCATGTGTTCAAAGCCTTTGTACTCTGTATCCATTGTCGTTGTCATCCTGTCGATATTAGCAATATCTCTTTTTGTGTGTATTGTACTATTATAATCTTCTATTTTCATATCTATCAAAGGTTTCGTAAGGAAAGGCAAAGTCTGTTATCATTAACGACCTTTAGTTAAAGAGAAACATTCTCAAGTTAAAGTTTCCTTAATTTGGCCCTGTGGGATGCAGAACAATTATTCTTCGTCTGCCTTTCATACACACTGTAATTGTTTGGAAATATCTTTCACACATGTGTTGTAGGTCAGATGCTGCAATGCTGGCAGATGTTTCAGTCAAAACTTTATCATGGATTCAAGACATTACATCAAGTAATGAAGACATATGGTTTTAAAGTAAAACAAATCAGTGTAATAAAATGTCCCAAGATATTGTATCACACAGACACAAGGTTATTACCAGATAATTTAAAGTAAGGACATTTTTACACTTAGTCCTCACTATTTTTACTGCTTGTGACGATATTCGTATAGGCATTGTGTTTGATAGCTGCATGAACCAAGGTTATCTGCATACAGGCCAAATAACTGGTCATTAACAGTCTCAACTAGATGTCATTATATGTTTTTTGGTGTTCTGCCAAGGTTGGAACAGGATAATGTAACATTTTAGAATAAAAATGCAAAGCCCATAACTTAATAGCAAATATCTGTAAAGTTAAAGCAAACTTCCCAGGTACATGGTGGGATGAAGGTGAACCAGACTGCACTGAGACAGGCGCGCACAAACCTAGTTTGTTGGGGAAACACACTATCAGTGTGTTGAGGAAAGACTAACTCAAAAGCCCCACAAAGCTTACACAATGAATTATGAAATATGGCTGTTTTCATCCACAAACTGGTTGTGTGTCCTGACCTCAATCTTGTGTGCGTCGCAGCTGGGTAGCGATGTTAACTTTAACATATAACACGTACATATACGGTGTTAGCATGTAGCTAACTAGCTAGCTAAACATCCCGGTCTACCATCTCTACAGAAGTGTTATGTGTGCGTCTGATGGCGTCTGATGTCTGATTGTGAAGTCTGGCTCATGTGGGTCCAGCTGTTTTATTTCTAGTTTCTAGAAAAATTATTTTATTTAATTTAATAATTTAATATTTTTATCTTATTATATTGTATATAATGTGTATCTTTTTATTCTATTTTCTATTTTCTTCATTGTACATGTTGCTGTGATACCAAACTTTCCCTCTTGAGGGATCAATAAAGTATCTATCTATCTATCTATCTATCTATCTATCTATCTATCTATCTATCTATCTATCTATCTATCAAAGTTCTTCTCTCGTACCGAGTTCGGGTCGGGTCTTCTTGGAAGGAAACTGCCGGTGGTTGCCCTTGTTATGTTGTTAAACAGCTCGTTGTGAGACTCGCCCTGACGAGAGAAGTCCAAATCTTAATGTATTTTAGGACGCTAAAATTATAATTCACTCATTAACTTTATCAGTGATTGGCTTCTTAGACCCGCCCGCCGCATTGGGACGCGGCCCGAGCCCAGCTGAGACCAGCGGAGAGGAGGTGCAAGAAAAGCATATATTTTGCACAGCTATCTTATTTTCCAAAATATTACTGGGTATATAACAACACAAATACACAATATTCATTATTTGTATAATGTATTTTTAATACAATAAACAACAAACATTATTTTTAACAACACTTTTTTTCCCCTTCGCTCATGTTGGAGCCACGCCTAATTGCCCTCTATGGACCAGCGGCCACAAATAAAGTTAAAAGTTAAAGTTAAAAAGGTCACTGAGAAAGAAGACAGGTTAGATAAGCTTTCTTAATCTGCTGTCACTGCAAACCGGCCTAAATAACTATTAGGAAATGGATGGATGTCCTGTCCAAATGAACCAAATAAAACCAAAACAGAGCAGGTTGGAATAGGTTGGATTGCTAAAAAAATATATATATAATAAAATAAAATACGATATCTCTTTATTGTCTCTAACATGTAAAATGTATTTTTAAGAATTACTTTTGTGTTCCCTTCCCCATGATGTTCTTTTTTGTATTCTTCTCAGGTTTCAGTAGAATAATATAACATTTTGGAATAAAAATGCAAAACAGCAGTCCAAAACTGGAGGCTAGAATTGCAAATATTTCCACAGCAACACTAAACTTCCCAGGAGAACTGATGTACGCTGGGATAAAAGTGATCCAAACTGCACAAAATATCAGCATGCTAAAGGTGATGAGTTTAGCTTCATTGAAATTATTAGGCAATTTACGGGCCAGAAAAGCAAGAATAAAACAAAACAGGGCCAGAACTCCAATGTATCCAAGTACAGCCCAAAAGCCTACTGCTGAACCTAGAGCACACTCTAATATTATTTTGTTCTTGAATTGCTTGAAATTCTTTAACGGAAAAGGAGGAGCAATTGTTAACCACAGGACACAAATCAATACTTGTATGAAAGTGAAAGCCAGAACACTGAGTCTCTGCTGTGCAGGCCCAAACCATTTCATGACATTATTCCCTGGAAGTGAGGCCCTGAAAGCCATTAGCACCACTAGAGTTTTCCCAAGAACACAAGAGATACAGAGGACAAAAGTGATGCCGAATGCTGTGTGTCGCAGCATGCAGGACCACTGTGTGGGCCGTCCTATGAAGGTCAGAGAACACA